TTGGCTCAGTGGATAGAGCGTCGGCCTGCGGACTCAAGGGTTCCAGGTCCGATTCCCGTCAAGGGCATGTACCTTGGTTGCGGGCACATACCCACTAGGGAGTGTGCAGGAGGCAGCTGATCGATGTTTCTCTCTCATCGATGTTTCTAAGTCTCTATCCTTCTCCCTTCCTCTCTGTAAAAAATCAATAAAATATATTTAAAAAAAAAAGAACTTCAATGGCTCTTTATGATAAAGTCCAATCTTCTGACATGGCATACAAGGCCTTCCAGATTCTATTTTTGCCTAGCTTTCTAGACTTATCCCTGCTATTTCTTATCTCACATTTTATTCTTCAGTATCAGCAGAGACCATATATTATTTTTTTAATAGTCTGGCAGTTCCTTTTTTAAATATGTTTTTATAGATTTTAGAGAGAGGGGGGAGAGGAAGAGATAGAAACATCAATGCATCAACATCAATGGGCTGCCTCCTGTGTGCCCCCTGTTGGGGATCAACCCTGAAACCTGGGCATGTGCCCTGATCTGGAATAGAACCAGTGACCTCTTGGTGCATGGGTTGAGCCACACCAGCTGGACTATTATTTATTTTTATGACCCCATTGTTGAACAATCAGTATTTAATATAGAGTAAATATTAAGCTCATTGCATAGATTCAATAAATGTTTATGAAACATTTAAAAACAGGAAACAAAAAAAAATAAATAAAAACAGAAAACAGCCCTAGCTGGATAGAGCATCAGCCTGCAGACTGCAGGGTCCTGGGTTCGAATCTAGTCAAGCGCATGTATCTCAGTTGCAGGCTCGATCCCCAGCCCTGGTTGGGACGTATGCGGAAGGCAGTCAACTGATTTATCTCTCTCACATTGATGTTTCTCCCTGTCTCTCCCCCTCCCTTCCACTTTCTCTAAAAATCAATGGAAAAATATCTTCAAATGAGGATTAACAAAGATAGATAGATAGATAGATAGATAGATAGATAGATAGATAGAATATCCTGGGCTGAGGATTAATAAAACAAAAACTGAAAACAATTAATTTGCTCAAGGCTATGTGGCTGGCAAGTGGCACAGGCAACCTGAGGTCTGGGTCAGATGACAAAGTCAACAGTACCTCCCCAAAGACTGTGCTGAGCTCTATAACTTTCTACACAATGCCTACCTCTTTCTTCCCTTTCCTTCCCTTCCCTTCCTCTCAGTTTATTTGCTCAAATTGAGATCCAAACATGGTCCATATGTAACATTTGTTGGATATGCCTCTTAATTCTTCTTTTAAGCAATAACAGTTACCCTCCACCTTTATGAAAATTGTGGTAAAATACACATTACATAAAATTTACCATCTTAACCATTTTTTAAAATTCTTTATTATTTAAAGTATTACATATGTCTCCTTTTTCCCCCATTGGCCTCTCCCCAGCCCCTCCCACCCCC